GTTGTTTGTTTTAAAAAGGACATTCCTTAAGTAATAAAGTTGGTGCTTAAAATATCAGTGCATCAAAAAACTAACATCTTAAAAGATAAACAACATTAGGACCATAAATAAAATCCTAATAGTGGTTCAATTCATTCATGGATCCTAAATGAAAACATTCAATTGAAAAAAAAATCTATTATGATTGTTACTCATGTCATTACACTCATCGCTAAATTCGAAAGAAATGATTCAGACTTATGTTCTTTTCTTCCCATATTGATCCATGCATAACAGCGAAATTATTTTCCAAGTAAAAGGTAAACGAGCAATACTTGAATGATGACCATAAATTTTTCTTTCCAATCAGAAAGAGCTTTCTTTTCTTTGTTTTTTCTAAGATGCTTTTATTTATCGACAGGATTCTGTAAATAAGAGGCTTTTTTCTGATATAGATTACCAAGGCACGTATCCAAATTTACTTGCTGAATCGTTATGTTTTTCACTTGACTCTTTGCACCGTACTCATCTATTACGGAATGTTAAGAAAGAGGCAGCTTTGTATAAATAGTATTCGCTAAAAATGAAAGAATGAATGATTTTCTAGCGTTTTTTTTTTGTTTTTTTACATTTGCTTTTTTTCTACTCATAGTGGTGTATATGTTTATAGCTATACAATCAGATAAGCTCTTACCGAGTCTTTAGAAAGAATTTTCTCCATCTAATATTGTATCTGAAAGTCGGGCATCAGTTTTAATGTGTATTTGGTTAATCGCCCAAATCATAAAAAAAGGAGTTCGTTATATCCTCTGGCACAAATATGGTACGAATTCGAGTCGAAAATTACACAAGAATATGGAAGAGCTCATTTCTAACATGTTCATTGAGAAAAACTTTTTGAATTCATTGTGGTTCGAATTTGAAATTTTTATTTTACTAGACATTACCAAATCAACCTAGAGAGGTCGGACAGTGCTAATAAAATTCAGAGTCTTTTTACGCTTAAAACTAAAACATGAATGAGTGCGCTATTGCCTCGCTTCAATCTGAAACGTCAAATTTTTCGCAACAACATGGAGGTCTTCCAAGATTTGAGGGGCACTTTACTAAAGGAAGAATACTATTTTAAAAAAATAGCAGATTTACACATCATGTTTAGCTTAAAATTGCCGATTTCTAGTACTATTAATGAATGACTGTCGCTCTCTCATTGATAAAGTGCTTTCCAAACTTTGGAAGACTTCCATGTTGTTGCGAATAATTTCTCATTTCAGATTGAAATGAGACAATAGCGCACTCATTCATGTTTTAGTTTTAAGTGTAAGAAGGCTCTAAATTTTATTAGCATTGTCCGACCTCTCTAGGTTGATTTGGCAATGTCTAGTAAAATAAAAATTTCAAATTCGAACAACAATGAATTCAAAAAGTTTTTCTCAATGAACATGTTAGAAATGAGCTCTTCCATATTCTTGTGTAATTTTCAACTCCAATTCGTATCACATTTGTGCCACAGGATAGAACGCACTCATTTTTTTATGATTTTGACAAATTAACAAAATACAAATTAAAACTGATGCCTAACTTTCAGATACGATATTTGATTGAGAAAATTCTTTCTAAAGACTCGGTTAGAGCTTACTTGATTGTCTAGCTATCAACATATAGACCACTATGAGTAGAAAAAAAACAAAAAAAAAACACTAGAAAATTATTCATTCTTTCATTTTTAACGAATACAATTCATATAGGTGTTTTAAAATATATTTGGATGAAAATTCATAGTGTAAAGGGATCAAGAATAGGCAATAGGAATAACTTAATCCGAATATTTTCTTTTGATGATCCAAAGCTTTTTTGAAAATGTAGGGAATCTGAGAATCGGTTTATTGTATAGTCTGACCAATCAACTTTATTCAAATGATCACGGAAATACTTTAGGAGAACGAAAAGCAAGGGTCATCACAACGAATTTTGAAATCCACTAATTTTTGTCTTTCGATTAAAAAGCAATCTCTAGTAAATGTGGACAATTATTCATCACTACTGCTTGTATTTTTTTAGATTCTGCCGCTCTTATCAAAGCGCAGTTCAATAAAAATGTGGTTGTGAATACTTTTGTCATACCATTTCGAAATTCTCAATCATATTAAATAATATTTTCGATAAAGCTTCCACGCCATGCATGACCGGTTGAAATTAGGGATGCTCTAATTCAGTCTGACTGATGCCCAGTCAACCAGGTGTGACTGAGACTAGCGTATGTATAGATGACATTGGTCTTTAATAATCGTTCTAAAAGGAATTTAAAAAGCCTAACCTGCTGTTTCCATAGATTGTTGGTGAGTATGTAGTGTTGAAACTGTTTGTAATGGGTCTTGATGAACATCAATAGAAGTAATAATATTTTTTTGTGTATTTTTTTGTTTATTTCGTTTTGCTTTAGGTGCAATTTCTTCCATATGCTCTTCATGTTTTTGATGGAGGAGTTGATACAGGTACTGAATACTACTACGAAAACCTGGTTTCACTATAAGAGTATTATCATCAGCTTCAAGATATACTAATGTTTTTATATCTTTTAAAACAGAACATGGTATTGAAAGAATGTCGAACACATCTTCTGTATTGAGAAAAGAGTACACACTTCGAATACCTTGAACCTCCAATAATTTAGCTTCGGTCAATCCTGCTATTTTTTCTACCATTTGATAAAAAGCATCATCATAAAATGAAAGTGCATCATTTGGTAACACGGATGTGTCAAGAAGTAATGTTTTGAAAGGCATTGTTGTATAATTGATGTGAAATAAAAAGTGGAATTGTTACGAAATTTATCTGTTTTATACAGCAAATAGTGTTAAAATTGAAATAATAGACTGATTCTCGTTGCTAGCTTTATATGCAGAAAATTCAGACATATACTGCTCTCTATCTGTTAAAATAGTTTGATATGAAGCGTTTTGTAAACTATCACTTTGCAGTTTCTTGCGATATAAATATTCATTTACTTTTCATTTTTCAAACTAATTGCTAAAGTATATCACTAAGTGTACAGCGCGGTAGTTTCTATGCCACTTTCCTTGTATACACTGCTACAACGGCTCTAAATCTGTAACGAGGACATTTTTTAGGCTAGTTTATTTGTTGCAGCACGGCCTTTTCAGAGGGCACAATGTTAAAGTATAAAGCTAATAAGTGCATACATGTTTTAACTGGACCAAACACATATCTATATTGAGTATGGTTAGTTCTAATCAAATATCACTAGATCTTCAATCGTACTTGGAATATTTTCAGGTTTCCCACCAGATATCCAAGACTCACATAATATTTTCTGAATTGTCATCTTATTTCAACGATTCTCATTGTATTTATACTGAACTCTCAGTGGCTTCCATGGGATTCCCATGGGATTTCCAGGATTTCTATGGGATTCTCATGGGATTGCCGGGATTTCCATGGGATTTCTGGGATTTTCATGGGATTGCCGGGATTTCTGGGATTTCTATGGGATTGCCGGGATTTCTGGGATTTCCATGGGATTGGTAATCCTGGCAATCCGCCGATTCCCCCTTGTTGTTTCAATTCTATAGGCATCGAATCTTGAATGAAAGGTGAATAAAGATTTGGTGCAATAAAATATTGTAAATTGTCAAAATCTTCCTGTAAAAATTGTATTGAAACTCGTGTTTCCAATTGAAGAAATTCGTCGAAGGCTTGTAATTGTATTTCTCGTAATTGTACTAGTTGATCAGTGGTATTTTTCTATACAAAAAAAAAGAATAAATAGAAATGAAAGACGATAAAGAATTAGGTTACTTGTGCAATACTAAGATTATAGTTGGATAAAGTTTCAAATAACTCCTCTTCATGTATTTTATCCTTATATCTTGTCAATCGAGAATTTATTTTATTTGATAAATACTTTTGTTGCAATTGAACAAATTCTTTAAGATTGTGATCGGTCTTGTCCAATGGTAATAGTTTGGGTGGACATAATTGAGATTGTATGTTTGATTCAGTTATACATTGATCATATTGTTGCTGAAGTTCAGACAAACGATTTGTAACAAATTGTTGACATAATGCATGTTCATTTGATTTAACCCTTTTGTAGACTTGATCCTATATTGAATTCAAAAAGAGAAAGATTAATCACTCTCTTTTGTTTTTGCTTTTCTATAGATGAGTATGTCTTAGATAACTTACTGGCCATAGTTGATGTTCAGATCCTAGTGTTAAATAGGATTGCCATAAATTTCGATGAATATCTAGACGTTGTTGGTGATCAAACAATTGAAGTCGACAATGAATAAATCTTTGTTTTTTCTTGACATTTAATTTCTGTTTCAATTGTAGACGTAGATTTTGAAAAAGTACATTGGGTGCTTTTGTTAAATATTTTGGTAACCGATAATTTGGCTTTATTGTAGTCAGATTAATGTTCACATTTTTCTTCTTTATCTTCTTCGGTAATTGTTCTGTCATTGATCGTGAACTAATTGAAGTCACTATTCGTTTACGTTTATTCGATTTTTTCTTTTTTGTTTGCAAATTTTTCGTTGTTGTCGTAGCCGTGTTTTGTAGTTGATCATTGTTATTATCTGGTATTTCTTTGGTTGGAACTTCTTTTTTTCTTTTCATTATAATCATTGATCAATTTCTTTATTTCTTCTTCACTTAGACCTCGGCGACGCCATTTCCTTTTGAAACATCGTAATTTTCGTTTACCATGACATCGTTTGATTCGCTTTTTCTTTTTCTTCATTGATGTATGCTGTTGTAATGATGGTTGAGCCGTTGATATTACCGATGTCAATGGTCGAGGTTCCCATAAGGGTCGTGGAATATTGACATGTTGTCTGCTTGATAGCATGTTCTTGGGTTGAATATCCATTAAGAAAGAATTTTTCTCTATCTAAAAAACAAAAAAGAGCACATGATGCGTTATATTAGTTTCCAGAAAACTCAACAGATTTCTGGACACCAAATTAATTTCCGAAAACTGCATTCCGTTTCCCCCGTGGATATACTAGGCATAATGGCCATAATGAACATAATTGGCATAATCGACATCATGGGCATTGGGTGCCACGGAGGAAGTTACACCACATCTCTCTCGCTGTGGGTGTCGCAGAGGGAGTCACACCACATCTCTCTCACTGTCAGTACTACGAAGGGAGTCAAATTTCATCATTCTTGGTTCGCCTCTTGTACAAAACGCCCACCAGGCGTACTACAGCCATTATGTCCAATATGTTCATTACGGCTATTGCGCCCATAGTAACATCAGTTTTCTGGAAACTTCTAGAACGTATTGAATATAAAAAAGCGAAAGAAAAAGACAGTTGATTAATATTTAAGAATTAATCTACATGAATAATAATGACAGCACTACAGAGAATTAATATACATATAAGATAGATCACCAATGCTCGTATCTTTGCTATTCCCAAATTATTTCCCTAGGGCAAAGACATGAAATGAAAACAACAAAAATTAGTCATTGAATTTTCGATTTGAGATGAAATAGTTGTGCTTTTAACTTGTAGATACATTCGATGCATTTGCTAATATTGGCTAAATGTGGTTGAATTAGATTCCGCATCGCTTCTGTTAATGGTTGATCGGATGGTAGTGTTTTTTGAATGTCTCGGATTTCTTTCACTGCCAGATCATATTGTTGTTGACATTGTTGTTGACATTGTTGTTTTTGTCCTTCAGCACATTCTATATAAGCGGTCATGATATTGCTTCGTGCTTGTTCAGCTACGTTCTTGTATCGCTGGTATAATTCTTGTCGAGTTCTTGAATCACGAATACCATCGATCCATGATGATTTTGCTATAGATTGACGTTCAAATGGTTGTGAAACGATATGTGAAGAAATTTTTACTTTCAAAAAATTTACTTCATGTTTCGTCATTTCTTGATTATATTTGAGTTTACATAAATGTTTCATTAATTGTATCTCGAATACAATAACAGTATGTACGAAAGGAAGAATAAGAATGATCTATAAATGAAGTTTACTTGATTCTCATTGGGATTCTGAGCAAGATAAAGCTGTCGAAATTTTTTATTGGTATAATGATATTGAACTAGTGCAATCTGTTCATTGATTTCTATACGTAAAGATTGAACTCCATGTTGTACAAACTTTTCAATCGTATATTCGATAATACGATTATAACCAGATAGACGACTTGCTGTGACATTTAATTCACATCGATAGTGTTCACTTTTAGTGTTGAATTCTTGTAAACATTGATTGATGAAAGTTAAACAAGCACTATCTACGTGGATATGATCAATTTCAAACTATTTCATGAGTAAATGAACTTCTTTTGGCCAAAACTTAGTATCTGATAGATGTGTTGGTAGTTTGGATTGGGTGTGGGTGTGGGTGTGGGTGTGGGTGCATACGGCGAGAAGTTCAATAAACGCACACCTAGCAACACCCACACCCACCCACACCTCACACCCACACCCACACCCACACCCACACCCACACCCACACCCACACCCACACCCACACCCACACCCACACCCACCCACCCCTCACACCCACACCCACACCCACACCCACACCCACACCCACACCCACACCCACACGAAACCATCCTTAGTTCTGCAAGTAGTAATATGGTTCCGTATATGGAACACGAAACCACCCATAGTTCCGTAAGTAGTAAAATGGTTCCGTATAGATTGTACGAAACCATTCATAGTTTCGTAGAATATATAAAGGTTGCGTATATACAGCACGGAACCACCCTTAGTTCTGCAAGTAATAAAATGGTTCCGTGCAAATTTTACGGAACTATTGATGGTTTCGCAACCTTTATTATCGTTCTGTATACATTATACGAAACCATTGATAGTATCGTGGAACATCTAAAGGTTTCGTATATGTGACACGAAGCCATCGATAGTTTCGTGAATGATGTAATGGTTTCGCATATCTTTTACGGAGCCATGTGTAGTTTCGTAAGTGTTGCAAAGGTTCCGGACACATTTTACGAAACCTTGAAGAGTTTCGTCACTTATCTGAAGGTTCAGTGTACATGTCACGAAACCATTAGCAGTTTCGCAGAGTATCTAAAGGTTCCGTATTAGTTCTACGAAACCATTCATAGTCCCTTAAGTGCTCTTGTAGTTC